ACTCCGGCTCCAGGTTCCTCAGGCGCCGCAGCCGTCATCAGCTGTCAACGCAACTGTGCTCAGAGGGTGCTTCGTGCGGGCGTCTGCCGGAAGAGTGCAAGGACTCTGCAACCGAGGATCATGGCAGAGGAGTAGGAGGCCCGGGCAGTGGAAAAGTTGAGATCATCCTTCCACTTGGAATAGTCATCGAAATACCTTGGTGACTTAGTGTGGCGTGGCATGTCTGTGAACTGAAGCAACTTGACTGACTTGCTGACCTAGACCTACACGTGGGCGACCGAGGAGCACCATGGCATCCAGGGGCAATGGCAGGTGCCTCGGCCGAAGATGTGCCACACTGCAGCAGTATAAGCAACTCCATTCTTCAATCTGCAGGTTCTTATGTACGGTCTCGCCTGAAGCACTATAACCTCATGTCACTCATGTCGCCCAGACACACGCCCATGTCCATCAGCTGGCTGTCAGTGTAGCCGGCCAGGCTGACAGACTTGGTGACAGCAGCGGTGGGATTGGTCCAATCGGCGGCTTCGATGATCATGACGCTGCCCTGCGGATCGACCAACTCGCTCTCGTACTCCCCCTCGCCTTCGTTTGCCACGGCCAGCTTGCTGCAGTCACTGTTGGGCAAGATCATGTCTGGCAGCGGCCCCGTGGCGAGCGTGCCGTAGCTCGTGGGCTTTGCCGGCGAGCTTCGCTGGACGGTTGACAGGATATGGACCTGGCCATTGCTCACGGTGTCTGCAGCGCCGGCGCCCACGAACATCACACCCTGCGAGGAGCAGATCTCGATGTCCGTCAGCTTGGCGCCGTTGAAGTCAAAGGCATAGTTGGACAGGACCTGAGTCGCCAGAGAAAAAAGAGTGCAGCGCTTGCACATGGGGGCCGCATCCCAAAACGAATGCTGGCTGCCCGATCGCAGTGCCGGGGCACCTGAGGATTGGCCACGTCGTTCCAGTCGATGACATTGAGCACTCCCTGCTCCGAGACGGCGTAAGCATACCTGAAGCAAGACGCGAGGATGCCACGGCGGAGCGATGCGGAGTGTCAGATCCAGGCAAGGGGCTTCTGCACGTGGTCGTAGGCGACCTGCTCGGCCGCACCCATGCCGAATGCCAACGCCTGATCCGAGGTGTTGTAGGGAATGTAGACCTCAAGCACAGCAAGAAAACAGAGTGTGTAAGAAGCTCACCGGGCCGGTTTCGTGCAAAAGGTCAAGCAGCGCGGGAGACCATGCTGAAGTTCGTTGGCGTCTCCCTGGCACTGCTGGAGTCGAAGGAGGGCGTCTTCCCCAGTCGCCGCGGGTGTGCCAAGGCCGGCGACAAAACGAGCAGCGTCAGCAGCGAACGCAGCATGGCAAGACCGAAGGTTTCGATGATCTACAGTATCTGCAGGGGGTCTCTGAAGCGGCACGCGCTTTGGCAAGCTTGTCCTCAGCCGCCGATGAGCCAGAACGGGGTCAGCCGAGCAAAAAACGTCACTTCAGCACAACCAACAATACTCATCAGTGCATCTGGCAAAAAACATCAAGCACGAATGGAAGGAAGGGGCCGTGCCTATCGGCGTGTTGGCCAGTGTCTGGTAGACAAACTCCGTGTCATCAAAGTTCCACACCTCTCGTGTCACCCAGCACGATGCCAGGATGTACAATGTCCATCCGGGCAGAGACACCGGGGGCTCTACTTTCGCCAGTGGGGCGTGAACATGCATATTGTGCAGGATGGGACACCAGAACGAACAGAAGAAGCCTGCTGCGAGACCTGCCTGAAATTTGCATGCGATGAACTTGGGCGCAAAATGACTTGCTCGTGTTTGATGTGTGCGGATGGCACGTTTGTGACCCCGGTCTCCACATGCTCGATCATAGGACAACCAAACTACGGCCCAAGTTGCACAAAACCTGTTGGACTGCTTTTGCCCCCCTAAGGCCCCTAGGCTCCGAGCATACCCGTCTGGTGCTCGGAAGCGTATGAAGCCGGTATCGCCAACCGGGTGGTTGCTGATGAGGACCGACCTTGACAGCAAAGCTCTGCAGTACGATCCAGATCCATGCGGCACCCTAGACCCTAAACCCGAACCCTACACCTCAACCCTAAACCCTCACCCCTAACCGGCCCCTAACGTAACCCCCTAAACTCCGCCATCCGAACCCCCTCACCCTCCTCAACCCCCCGCAAAATCCGAAGCCTAAGCCAACTCTCAGGTCCCTTAGGTCCCTTACCCCCAAACCCTAAGCCCTAAACCCCGAATTTCGGGGTTTAGGGGTTTAGGGTTTAGGGGTTTAGGTTTAGGGCTTAGGGTTTAGTAAACCCTAAACCCTAAACCCCTAAACCCTAAACTTAGTGCCGCACACCCACGAGCGGCGCTCCGTCATCTGAAAGGGCCGGAGGTCGCTGATCTGAGCAGGGTCCATACTACAGAATACTATATACTATATACGATATACCACATAATGTGTACTATGTGTACTATATAATAAGTAAATTATAGACTCTATACTATATACTATATGCCTTAATTATGCTATATGTTCGATACGATGTACCATAAAAATAAAGCACAAATATAATACCATATCCAATACCACGACCTAGTAGAATATATGATAGAATACTGTCTGGTGCTTAGTAGGGAATGGGGGAAGGGATCCCTGTGATAGTCCCTTAAGGTCCCTTAGAGCAGTCCCTATAACCCATTCCCCCATTCCCTACTAAGCACCAGGGAGAATAAGGGACCGGGGCCTCCGAAGAGTCAAAGATGCAAGTCATCCTCTTCTAGGGGCCGAAAAAGCTTAGGGTTTAGGGTTCAGGGTCTAGGATCGGGTTTAGGGTTTAGGCTTTAGGGGTATCTATAGGGCATAATGAAGGGTTCTACTTAGGGTAAGGAGTTCAGGGCTGAAGGTTTACTGTTCCAGGCTTTCCGGAGTGCAAAGGCCCCGTACACGAACACATCCCAAGAGAGCAGTCTGCCGAATGCCCGCTGCCACATAGAAGCAGGCCAGTTTAGGGTTTAGGGTTTAGGGTTTAGAATCTAGTCTATACTAAATCAAAACGTTTCGAGGTTGCTTTCCTGAACTTGACTTGCGCAGCGGTGATAGCCGGTCGTAGTCATCTCTCCCTGAATACCACGCGGCACCGTGCAGTGTGAAGCAAGATCTGAATATAAAAACCGTATCTTCTATTTTATGCCCAAATGTAGACTACAATATGTGGACTTCCAGATACTGTACGATGCTACACTATAAATGCAAGTGTATACGACACGATACTCTACTCTACGCTACTCTCCTACGCAGACTGGGCTAGTTCGGCACGACTGGGCTTGTCGTCTAGACTACACTGCACTAAACTCTACCCTAACCCTCCAAGTGCTCCACTATAGAGGGTACCAGAGCTCTTAGGGCCCATATGGTAGGCACTTGAAGGGTTAGGGTATACTGTAGTATCCTATACTATACTGCACAGGGACTTCTTGAGAGTCGCCACCAATGTAACACACCGACATGTCCCAGAAACAACTGCAATGTATGATAACATCCTATAACGAATCACACAAATACCATAATAGGTTCTACCGCGGCTTACAACTCTAAAATACGGCGCAGTCTACTATAAACAAACCTACGATGTGATGTATTGTAACATTTTGAAACATTAGTATGATATCGTTTTGTACTACTACTACTACTACTACTACTACTACTACGACTACGACTACTACTACTACTACTACTACTACGCACGACAACAACAACACCGAAACTGCCAGTAATAGTAAAACCAACGGTACTACTAGCAAAATGAGAACAGTCATACTTCGTTGTCTTCATCTTGCTAATCTTCATACTCATCTTCATCTTATCACCATCATCATCATCACCACCATAATCAGCATCATTATCATCATACGAACACGATGAAAATGCCATAACATGTTACCATATATCATAATATGTTAACAGATATGATAATAAGTCATCTTGTACTATGTTATCTAAACTGAACAAAATATAGTCTGATATCCTATATAAAAACGGCCTGAAGTTCTCAGTGTGTAACAAGGCAATGGGGCCTGAAGCCACAAACCTGAACACCTTGACACCCTGTGAACCCTACGAGTAGGTTCCGTAGGTGCCTTGACCATCACTTCCAAGGTTGAACTGGAGTAGATCCCCCAGCCTCGCAGCATTTCGGCTTGGTTGGGGTGTCTATTCGATCTGGAGCTTTCCTTTACTGGAGCAACAGTTTCACAGAGCGAGAGAGCGAGAGAGAGAGAGAGAGACAGAGAGAGAGAGAGAGAGACAGATAGCGAGAGGACGAGAGGTGAGAGTGAGGTGGAGAGGGGGCGAGAGAGCGACGGAGCTAGGGAGCGAGGTAGGATTTCAGTTTTGAGATGTGATGACTAGGGTTCGCCTCCGGCAGCTGGGACCTCGAAACCACTCGCCTCCGAGGGACCTACTGAAACTACGTGCTACTTGGAGCTTGGAATGTTTAGGATTTAGGATTTGGGGTTTAGGGTTTAGGGACACGCATAGAGTCAACGTGAGGTCCCAAGTACTAGTACCGTAGGCAAGGGCACAGCCACTAAGGACCTACACACGCTCTGAACTCTTCGACCTCGGCTCCTGGCACAAACATGAAAGCCCACATAAAACCCTCTAAAGGGTTTTAAGAAAGCCTATAACTCTATAAAGGAGTGATGTAAGAAAGCAGGTAATTTCCTACAGCCCTATAAAAGGGCTAAGGCTCACAGATATATGATTTTGCATATGGTTAATGTAGTATTCGGGCGTCTTCTTGTGGTAGGACTTAAACCTACTGTTTTCAACACATCTATGCTCCAGACCCTAAATCTCGAGAGCTTCCTTACAGCCGTCCAAAGTCCGTCCAACAAGGGCGCAGGCTTGTGCTGTCCAAAGAAGTGAAGGGAATGGTCCTGAGAGAGAATAGAGTTTTCAGATAATTCTCGTTGTTGCAACCTTAGCTACAAAAGTCTCCTTACACGCCGCGCAACTCCTAGTTGACATCAGGTACGGACACGGATGTTCTGGCATGCTGTTGCGCATGTCTGACGCCTTGAGCTACACCAGGCAAATTCACTCACAGATGCTACGGTCAACAGTGCAAACATCGACAAATTTTCTGTAATTAGTGGAGCTGGCTTTTGCATGCTGTCTACTCCATGATACCACGACCATGGCCACCTGCTCACCCGGCACTACTTGGTTGGAACTAACCAGCGCGCTTGAGAAGGTTAAACCCTAAACCCTAAACCCTGAACCCTAAACCCTAAACCACCCTAAACCCTGAACCCTAAACCCTGAACCCTAAACCACCCTAAACCCTAAACCCCAGTCTTGCAAGAAAAGGCCTGTGCAAACAGCACGTTGTGAAAGAGCCAAGACTTACCCATCCTCTGCAGTGTAGTTCTTGTTTGGGGTTATCTTCTATAGGATCCTAGATATAAAGTTGGTTTTATTAAACCAAAAAAACCCTAAACCCTAAACCCTAAATATAAAGTTGGCTTTACTAAACCAAAAAAACCCTAAACCCTAAACCCTAAATCTAAAGTTGGTTAAACCAAAAAACCCTAAACCCTAACTATAAAGTTGGTTAAACCAAAAAACCCTAAACCCTAACTATAAAGTTGGTTAAACCCAAAAAAGAACTACAACGGAGACGTTACGCACCGGGACAGCGAATGAAGCACTCTCAGCTTCCGACTGCGGCGTGCCATCGACCACATACTCGCTCGCCTTATGGGTAGTTTTCTAAATTAGGGTCCCTTTTTAGGTCCCCATTATATTACGGCACCCCTATACAAAGGACCCCCCAAAAGGGACCCTAATTTAGAGAAATACCCTTATAGGAGCTTCGGACTTCAGAGAAATAGGTCTGGGTTCAGGGTTTAGCGTTTAGGGGTTCAGGGTTTAGGGTTTAGGGTTTAGGGTTTCGGGTTCAGGGGTTCAGGGTTGCTTAAAAGTCTAAGGTTTACCGGTCCAGGGTTTAAGAGCCTAAGGCTTAGGCTACGTTCAGTGCTCAGGAATTCGGACATTATTTAGGGCTTTGGCTTTAGTGTCTAGGGTTCTGTGGTTTAGAGCTTCAAGGATAATTCTGGGGTTTGGTGGTTTAGGGTTTAATTAATTCAGGCTTAAGCTTGGCGGATTATGGTTGTACGGGTTCAGGTTTAACTTGATATGGTTTCCAGGGCTCGCCCAAGATATCCTTACTAGCACCATCTTCAAATCCACGTCGCTGGTTGCATGGTAGTGGTTGCACCGTGTCTCATAATTAAACACAGCTTCAAACGTTCCAACAGCTCTGGTAAATTCGGTCTAGATTCTGTAGGTGGTGTT